CAGTCAGGACAGTTACAAGTCTTTCTCTGGTTCCTAGCCTCTCAGCCACATGGTAGCCAAGTCTCTGTCCAGTTCTCAGTCTCTCAGACACATGGTCTCTTGGCCTTTGCCTCCATGGGCCAGGTAGCCAGCCCACCTGTCACTCTGAAGGTACCTACAGTTTCACTGCTGTTCCTGAGTCTCCATGCCAGTCTGTGGTACCCTCTGGTCTCCGAGACCTCCACTACTTCCGTGATCTTGAACATGCTCTTCCAAGTTCCTTCAGGTGTCTCTCTTCTTGGCTGCTGCTTCAAAAAGGGCTCATCCTTATAGCAAGATGGGCAGTAGCGAAAACGGACTTATCCCATCTCATATGCCTGCCCTCCTGGTATAACCCTACCCAATCAGAGATTGGTGTAGGAGAACCATCTTAATTCTACTCCACCACATATACTACTATGCCTTCTTTTGGTAACAATGACCAAAATGGATCTATCTATGTGCTAGTATCCTTCAATTTGGTGTGCATTAATTAGCACAAGGCTATTCTTTTTTTTGGAACCTTTTAAAAAAATTGTTTTATTAAAAAAAATTGTTTTATTAGGGGCTCATACAACTCTTATCACAATCCATACATACATCAATTGTGTAAAGCACATTTGTACATTCATTGCCCTCATCATTCTCAAAACATTTGCTCTCCACCGAAGCCCCTGGCATCAGCTCATTTTTCCCCCTCCCTCCCCCTTCTCCTCTCCCTCATGAACCCTGGATAATTTATAAATTATTATTTTGTCATATCTTCCCCTGTCCATCTCCCTTCACCCACTTTTCTGTTGCCCACCCCCCAGGGAGGAGGTCACATGTAGATCCTTGTATCACATGTAGATCGGTTCTCCCCTTCCAACCCACCCTCCCCCAACCCTCCCAGAACACAAGGCTATTCTACTGCAATTTTTATACCACTGCATTAATCTTGTCAACTGCCATCAAAATGGACCCTACCCATGGCTATTCTATAACTGAGCACAATGATAGATAGTTATGCCCCACCCCCATTATTGGCTTCCAATTGGACAAGAGTGATCCAGAGGGTTTTCATTGGCTGATTTTGCGAAGTAGATTGCCAGGCCTTTAAGTTGACAAGATGCACTGAAATCGATCTAGCATCCTAACAACACACGTTTCCACTGACAGATGGGTGGTGCCTGTGCGTGAGGTGCACACAGGCCAGGAATCAAAGCTAGGGCTCCTGTGTAGAACTGGAGAAAGCTAACGCTGATCCTGTCCTCCCTAAAAAGAACTGACCACTGTCTTTATGCCACGAACAAGAGTGCTGCCAGGTGATGAAGGGCTGCCTGGTCATGCCTCCGGTTTGGGGGGGCCATAGCCCCTTTAAGCTGATGGCTGAGGAAACAACAGCCATACAGTTATTGCCTTTTAGACCTAAACAAATTCTCACCTTTAGGGAACCCTGTCAAGGGTCTAATGATAGGGCCCCTCCCCTAGTGCTGATTGGAACATGAAAAATGAGGCTACCATCTTGATTCTAAATGATATATCCACCTATGGAGCTTGGATGGTAGCTTTAGATAAGTTATGGTGGCACTATTAGGTAGATTTAGTTTCACGATGGGTCAGAATAGACTTGATAACAGTATTTTATCTACAGTTAGGTAGAAGTGTGTATCCGGGTATGGATAAAGACAGGAAATACTTAGATTACCACATTCTCATTTACCTATATTTTAAGTAGCTATTTTCATGGTCACTTGAGAACTTGCTTGTAACCAAAATTTTTCTGTTGGACTCATATATGAATTCTATTTAGAACAATCTGGATTTGTGCATCTGGTTTTTTAGTTCCTGATTCAAATGTTTATGGAACATGCCATAACTAATTATAGTTAGTGTCCCCTTATGTGGCAGCCATTTCCTGTTCTGTTCTTCCTCTCTACCTGGTCTTCACTCAGCAGCAAGCAAATAATAGCCAGAACGGTCCTCTCCAAACATAATGCACAGAAGGCTCTGCACTGCTCAAGACATCATCCAGGACACCATTGTACCAGCTGTTTCCTTTCCAATGAATACATTAAACTCAACTTCTACAAATATAAAACCCGCCACTCTCCTATTTTTAGTGTTTGAAATGATCATGGCAAATTTTCACTAGGCACGAAACCATACCACAGGCAACTGTATTACTTTTGTACGTGGTACAATTGTACATATGATGAAAGTACTATTATGCAAGGAATTCTACTTGCAAGTGTGTGACTCAATCAAGCACTAACCCTTTCCCACTCTATTAGCGGTTAATATTAGTAACAGCATGTGAATTAAAGACCCAGGGACTCAGTAGACCAAAGGTGAAGTGAGCCATTGCTGTGATGGGGCTAGCCACACAGCTTACTTTGATCCTGCTGTGTTCGTCTGGGTACTTTAAAGAAACAAATCCACAGAAACTTATGTATAAGAGAGAGTTTTAAACAAAGGTTAAGTGTGTATCAAGAAAACATCCCAACCCAGTGCTGCTCAAGCCCACAAGTCCAACATTAACCCATATGTCCAACACCAATCCACAGAGTCCTCCTCCATCTCACAAAACAGATGCAATGATGCCGACTGCAGGAGGAAAGCTGAGTCAGTGAACGTGTAAACATCTCAGTGCTGGCAGGGGTCTCCACATGGCTGCTCCGGCACCCAGGGCTGCATCGGGGTAGGTCCATGTGGCTTCTCCTCTGGGATGAGCCTTGCCAGCTAAAGCAGGGAACTGCTAAGGCAGCTGTACCCTGGTCCAACCATCACAGAGCAAGAGATCCGAGAACTCCAAAGCCGAGGCTCACTGAGCCATTTATCCCTCCGCCCTTCAATTAACCCCACATGTTTATCAGCCAGGTTGACACAATAAACTAACTCACTGCTTAACAGAAACATAGTCCATAACTCCACTACTCTGGCCAGACCCCACTAATGGGCAGTTCTGGGCATGATGCTATAGCAACAGACCTGTTGGGGTGTCCTCTGGGAAACAGGATTCCTCTCAAGCTGTCTCCCCCAAATATTTGCCAAACTTAGCTGCTTGAGAATGACTATACACTTGGAGGTCATTAGGAGTAGATTAGGGGTCATTCTCCCTAAGAGCTATCAGCTATCTGGAGCAAGCAGACACCACTGTTTATCCCACAAGTAGGGCCCACACCCTTCTGATAAGGAAAGTAGTTGTCTGTTTCCTTGTAGGAGACACCAGAGAGGTCAAACCTGCCCAAGGATGACCAAGGTTAGGCTGCCATCATGAATCTAGAGTCCGCCCATCTTGTCACATGTATACCCCTAGACCTTCCCATTCCTATGGGCACACCCCTAGCTCATCCCCTTCCTGTCACGCTCATGCCTATCGTACATCCCCTTCCTACAATGTGTTTGCCTATTGTACTGCCCCTTCCTGTGACGTGTGATTCTGTAATCATGTCCCCCTAAAGTGATATAACACTTGGTTAGCAACAAAGAGGCTCTCCCTGGTTCTCGGTCCTGAGGGGTCCCCTGCTCTCCTGGCTGAGTTCCCTCCACGTGCACTATCAAGTGGGGCTGAGGTGAGCAATGCCACCATGAATTGTGTCTGACTCCATTTATTCCAATCTCTCCTCTCTCATGCTATGACTTTACTATAATCTTTACTTATCGCTGTACAATTATGCCTACTGGACCTGTGATGATTTGTGCCCCCCCCTCCCCTTCACCCCAGTGTCCTGAACCTGAGAACATATGGATGGAAAATAAATTGAAAACTATACCATAGGAAAGGCCGAGAAAACTAGGATCATTTTTGAGGGGCTTGAGTGAAAACATTAATGCCTGCCTGTGGGGGGAGGTAGATGCTAACAGGCATCCTCCCTGAGATCAGTTGCCAGACTGCACTGGGCCTGCTCCCTGCTGCTGGGGACGATGGACAGGCTCCCGGTAGGTGGAGTTCACATCCTACTGATAATGGTCTCTATCAGTTGAGCCAGGAACAAGTCAAACAGGCTCTGTGACATCCAAAGTTAAGCTGCCATCCTAAATCTAGGATCCGCCCATCTTGTCACATGTATACCCAAACCCCTCCTCTTCCTATTGCGTGTATGTCCCTAGACCACCCACTCTCATTGCTGTATAACCTATCGTGCAACCCCTTCCTGTGGACATATGACTACCTGTAATTAGTGGGCTTGCACGCTCCAAAGGTATATAGACCTGGGTCAGCAGTAGAGCTCTCTCCCTGGCCTCTTCCTCCTTGCGCCCCCTCTCCCTTGTCCTCCGTCCCTTCCCCCTCTCTCCATGTGGACCACAAAGCTGGGGTGAGGTGAGCAATGCTACCATGAATTGTGTATGATTGCACTATTGTAATCTCTCTCATGCTCTCAATGACTTTTAATATATCTCACCCGTACAATTGTGCTTACTGAACCCGCGACTAGCGGTGGGGGGGCTGGGTAAAAAACCCTTATACTACACCTGCCTAAATTATATTCTACTGTCCAGCACCAGTTAGGGTGGAGACAGAAGCAAATATCCCATCCACTTTAAAAGAGAAAATTAAAGCAAAAGGCACTGGAGTGAATGTAAACTCCCAAAGCTGCAGCACACAACAAACAGGGTGAAGGGAGAATGTGTCTATGGCAGACCAAACCACGTGACTCAAATTGTAGCAAGTTTTCAGTCCCGCCAGTGAGAACTTTTCTTAGCTGTACTCCCACTTCAAATCTTCACTATGGGCTTGACAACAAACTTCGACGCAATGTACAATCACATAGTAATGTTTTGGTCATTATTCTAAATACCATATATACTCAAGTATAAACCGAGTTTTCCAGCACATTTTTAATACATTTTTGTGGTACAATTACGTGCCTCGGTGGATATTCAGATCAGCTTATACTCGGGTATATACGGTCGACCACACAATACTTTCAGGCCCATCTTCCTCAAAGGATCCCCTCTTGTGGTTTAACATTGTCCTGCCAATGAAGACACGAGAAGAGTTCAGAGTAAAAATTTATTTCCATCTCAGGTAACATAATTCAAAATTAACTGTGTTGTAAGGTGAGAAAACAATGATTATATGCAATCTGATAAGAGATTTCTTCAAAATTCTCCACCCAGTAGGGACATAGAGTTCCAGGGCCCCCAAATGTTGACACCTAACATTTTGCCCAATGAGAATGTAATTCAGAATATAATTACTGAAAGAGATGACATCAATATCCAAGAATCAAATTGTTTGATGCTTTAATTATAAGCTCTCAGGGTATCTAACAGGAAGCCTTGGTAATGTAATGGTTACGAGTTGGGCTGTGATCCACAAGGTCAGCAGTTCAAAGCCACCAGCCAGCCACTTCCCCAGGAGAAAGATGGGGCTTTCTACTCCCATAGATTTATTCTTGGAAACTCACAGGGACAGCTCTATGAGTGGACATTGACTTGGTGGTATATAATCACCTCTGTAGGGCAGTAATAATAATGACAGGTTTATTTTTTCCCTGCATAGTTCAGTGCTGCTGTTTTAAAGTAAAAGGAGAGAATACGTGAAAACACTTAAGTCTTACACATATTTTTTACAATAAAAATAGTAGAAGTCTAGAGACTTTTAATTCTTCTTGAGTTCAGCTGGGACAGGACTTAAATTGGTGTCAACCGATCATACTTATTCCAACTTTGGCGACCATCAGCAAACTGTTCAAAAGAAACACACAAATAGTCAGGTAAAAGACAGACAGGCATCTCAGCTTCTTTGTTAAGGGCCTAGACGCTGAAGCTGCCTCACAACTGCATGATGAAGGCTGGACCAGGGTGGAGCAGTCGGAGGTAAAACTTCCATCCCTGGAGGCACTGGTGGATAATCGAGACCACGGGCAATCTGCCCTGAGGTCTGACACTACAAGTGAGCTGGTGCCCAGCTGTCGAGAATCTGCGAGATGAGACACAACCGGCCAGAGAGCCAGGTTTTCCCTTCATCCAAGGGCTAAGTCAGGACTGGCCGTTACAGGTTAGAACCCCAGATCTTCAGTCGCCCAGCTCAGGTCTACAAAATTCTCCTACGTATAACAATTATGCTAATAGTGTGATAACTACTATCAAAGCTGGGTAAGAGATCTTTTCCCAAAATGATTTTTTTTTAAAAGATCATTTTATTGTGGGCGCTTACAGCTCTTACAACCCATACATCAATTATATCAAGCATATTTGTACATAAGCTGCCATCATTATTTTCTAAACATTTACTTTCTATTGAGCCCTTGGTATCAGCTCCTCCCCCACCCCCAAGACAAACAAACAAAAAACCCCCAACAAACCCAGATTAAAAATTCTGCTTTAGGGTGTTATTAAGTGTAAGGGCTAAATTAAAACAAACAAAACCCAGCAATTTGATTTGGGTTGTATAGCCAAAGTAAATTTAAAAATAGGATTCAGATGAATATCCCTTTCATTAACAAAGGGAACATACACAATTAAGAAATATTGGACCCACAGGGAAACTTCTGGCACTTCCAGGGCGGATCAGCGAGAAAGCATGGCACAAGACTGTTGATACTGTGAATTTATACACCTATCTAATTTTCACACGCCTGAGTTAATGTTTTAGCAGCCTTTCCTATCTGTGTATAAGTTAAATGATTCTGGCTGAAGCCTAGCATCAGCTATACTTAGACAAGCACATTTTGGTGTAAAAAATAGTTGGAGCAATAAACTAAACCCTATGGTGGGAAAGAACAGCCACAGAATGTAAGTACCTGGCACCCGCAATTAAGCCTGCAGGCATAAATTTCCCGGAGTTGTAGAATCTCATCCCCATAATGCCAGCCAAGGTCCCAGATGTAGCTGATGGAAAACAGAAAGAGAAGCGCTCAAAATCATTTTCTGTCTTACAAGAGAGGGAACCCAGAGAAGTGACCACTGCTCCACCATCTCCCAAACCCAGATCCAATCCCTCACTTCTTCCTCCTTCCCTAGGTGGGGGCAAATACAACTGCCTACAGCCACAGAGATTAGGGACCCACACTAGCATATCACACCCACACAGCCTGGGAACAGCCTGCCTGCAGCTCCTCTCTCACCCCTGTCCTTTGCAGAACCTGTACGTCTTACAGCTTTCTCCCCAAACTGCTGCAGATCCCTGCCCCCATGCTATGCAAGTGCCCCGGCGGGGGCTGGAGGTACATAGCAGTGTCCACGTACTGAAGAATCTCTCAGGAAGTTTGTGCAACAGGTATAATGAATGCTGTTGAGTTCCAGCCACTGTCAAGTCTAGATCTCTAACTTCCATGCCTTCTTCTCTCATGTTCCTGACAGCGAGGCTCCAGCTCAGGTGTGCTGTCTGAGACCTCAGGGCAGGCTGCCATGAAGGGGCTCCCGTGGGCACTGCAGAGGAACTGCTCCACACTGGGCTCGCAGAAGCAGGCTCCCAGGCCTTTCTCTTGGGAACAGTGTGAAATGAGTAACAGAGAGGGGAGGACAGAGGAAGTGATGCCTGAGCTCACATCTCAAACAAGAGAAGCAGAGAGCTGTCTAGAGGGGAGGGGAAGTAGGAAGCACTTCCAAACCAAGAGGGCAGGACCTGCAGAGGGTCTAAGGGGCAAGGAACATGGCACATCCCAAAAGCAGGAGGGCTAGTGTGGTTGGGCACAGAAATCTGGAAAAGGCTGGAGAAGAAGCAGGGCCCGAGCACTCGGGGCTGTATTTAATTATTTTGTGTTCATCTTCTTCAGAATCCATGAAAGCATATTAAGTAGAGACTTAAGTGAACAGGGTTGAGTTCTGAAAATATAATCCCAGGAGTTAACAAGCAGCAGGGAGTTCAGAGATGTGTCAACAAAGGAACTGCCTCAGAAACCGGGGCAAGAGAACGGGAGCGCAGGGACCAGGACAGTGGCACTGGAGATGGGAGATCAGAGTCCTTCAGGGGGTGTGGCCAGGGCTGGAGGGAGAGAGTAATCCAGACCTGGATGAGTGGAGACCAGGAGACCAGACGCTGGGAAAGCATGAGGTCAGTGCAGCGCCTGCAAAGGTCCTGGCGCCTTTAGGCATCTGTATACTCGAGAGAAGAGTCTGCAGGAGAAACTTATCTATCAGGGGTGATAAAGGCCACAGGCTTCAGTGACGCTGTCAAAGGAGGATGGGTGAGGAAATGGGTGCCAGGGAGCAGCGCAGTGTTTTCAGAGAAGGGGAAAAGTGAGTTAAGGAAGTAGTTGGAAAAGGAAGTACAGTCACACAACAGAGTTCTCTTAAATGGGTGTGATACAGGGCCACGTGAACACCAACAAAAGGCCCGTCTGGGAGGTGGACAAGGTGAGCGGTAACTGCTAACGCAGAGCTCGCAGCACAGGTGGACGGACTGGCCGGGGGAGGGAGGAACACAGACCATAGGTCTGCGGGCTGATGGCATGACCTAAGGGGCGAGGGGTGGTCAATGCTCAGAGTGGCACGGGGAATCAGAGGTGGGGGGAAACCCAATGTCAGGCAGTCCTGGAGTCTAAGGGAGGGAGCTGTGAGGCAGCAGAGCTGGGCCTGTCTTTCTTCCCCAACGTGCCCCCAACCAGCCACCGCTGGCCCCAGCCCGGCCCATGGCTGACTCGTTCAACCTCATCAACACACACGTTCACCCTGCTGCACTTGTAAAGGGTCAGAACTGCACTTCTCCCACTGTGAGGAGCCCTGTGGCAGTCAGATCATTGCTGGGCTGCTAACCCCCAGGTCATCGGTTCAAACCACCAGCCATTCTGAGAGAAGGATGAGGCTGCCTGCTCCCAGAGACGCAGAAACCCTATATAGCAGGGGTTCTCAACCTGTGGGTCTTGACCCCGTTGGGAGGTCAGAGGACCCTTTTACAGGGGTCGCGCGATTCATAACAGTAGCAAAATTACTGTAATGAAGTAGCAACAAAAATAATTTTATGGTTGGGGGGGGTCACCACAACATGAGGAATGTATTAAAGGGTCACAGCATTAGGAAGGTTGAGAACTACTGCTCTGTAGGGTCACTATAACTCGCCATCGACTCTGATGGGGGCTTGCTTGAACAGTGAGACTCACCCTCCTAGAAGTTTCTGAGGCAGGGGTGGAGCTTAACAGAAGTGTTCCTAAGTCACCCTGATAATGAAATCGTCACCCCTTCTCTGCCTGTCTGCTCCCAGGACACTTTCCTACAGCACCAGAGTCGCTGGCTGTGTCCCTAGCTTACTGTGCCAGGAAGGCCAGGCCTGTGCCTAATGCTTTTAGCTTCCTCTTAAAGAGTTCATACTTGACTTTCACACCGGAAATCAGCAATGTTGACTCAAATCTAGCTCAGATACTTTCATAATAAGGATAGGTCAAGTAGGCCTTCTTCCAGCAACCACAAAGGTTAACGGAATAGTTACCCGTTGAGTTTGTTTACATGTTAATTTCTCTGTGTAAAACTAAATTTAAAAAGTGGGGGGAAAAATTGAAAGTAGGAAATGCTCCCCATATTTTTATATAAAAAGACAAACAGGAAACAAACACAAATGCCCCCATTTAAAATTTCTTCCTAGAACTTTGCAGAAAACAGTGAAACTAGTTTGTCTTACATGTGGATAACTTGCCATATCTCACCAAACCAGGGCTTTCAGGTAAAGATTATTCCGGAACCATAATTACACTAGGGAGACAGTGGAGTAGACGTACCTAGGAAAACCCAAACGTTCCTGGGATTCTGCGAGAGCTGATATGCACCCAGGCCTGCTAACCCCCCGAAGAGAAGTCCAGCAGCGAGGGACGGGACACTACCTAGAAGGAAGCAAAAACACACATGTACAAACATAGTGTCAGACCCTTGTTGCATTAGTGGGGTCCACCAAACACTCCTCCCCTACAGTAAAACAAACCAAATAAGTCAGCAATCAGTTCACTAACAAAGTCTCCAAGCAGGTATATGGGGCCCTTCGCTGTTTGCCAAAGAAGGCAAGCTAATACACCCATGTCCCTTTCCTCCCATGGGCAGGTCACTGCCCTCTGAAGAGAACCGAGCTGCCAACCAGGCCAAATGAACCCACCATGGGCTGGGACCACGTGTGGCCAGGACTGCAGATAAGTCAAAAGAGGAGAGGCAAAGAGGGCCAGTGAGTTAAAGTGAGACCTGGAAAATAAGAAATCTAGTGCGTGCACCATACACGACGCAGGCACATTAGCGGGCACTGCCACACCTAGCTCTTTAACGAGGAGGCCTCAAGAGCAGGGAGGTCAGGCTGAAGGCGCTTCTTGGTGCTGGAGGACGGCAGATGACGCTGGGAGGCCGAGGCTGATGTAAGGCAGTCGATGATAATCATAATCTACTACCACCTGCCAGCAGCTTCAGATAAAGAAGCAGAAGCTATTCCCCCAGTAGCCAGACAGCTGAGCTCAGCCAGAGAGCCAAAAGGCAAATAGAGAAGAAACTTTGGGACTGATCATAAGCCTGTACTCAAGCTGGAGGGCCTAGAGCAAACCTAACTCCAACAAGAGTCTTCCTCGGGGACCCAGAGGGCTCATTGTTCACGAGGAGTGTCGGGAAGATTTCAGAGGACAAGTCACTCACTACAAGACCATACCTGCTTTCGCGTAGCCAATGATCCCACCAGAGGCAACCAGTGCTGCGTAGCCAAAGCCAAACCAGTGCAGGGGCACTCTGAAAATGCAAGAGTCAGAAATCAGTGCCAACCACGTTTTAAAAGCAAGCTGCATAATCATAGCATGGGGCTAGATGGTCATTCGAAAGCACTCTCTCACTGTACATATGAAGGAGATAAAAACCGACAGACTAGCGTCAAGTAACATAAGCAGTCAGGGCAGAGCTGAGGACCCAAACTCCTGTCTCAGAACATGCCTGGTGTCCCCCTGCATGAAGGAAGCAACTCTGGTTTTAAGACGTAGCTGGCTAATTCATTCCCAATTACTGTGCACTTACAGCGAGCTGGGCTGCTTCTCCATGGTTCTCTTCCCTCTCTGTCCAACTGCGTGAAGACACGCTGCCTGCACCTGCAAAGGAGGGGGCTACATCAGAGCTGGTGAAGGCACAGCTCTCTGGGAGGGCGAAAGAAGTGGGTCCACATTCTAGCTCCAGGACTCTAGTTGCTAAGAGGTCCTGGGTAAGCCGTGCCATCTCTCCAGGCTGCAGAGCTTTTACGGGACCCTGATGCCTTAGAAGGGGAAATATGTAAAAAGTCCTCGGCATATGGCAAATGCTGAACATCAGGTCCTGTAGTAACTTCAATTCTAAAAATAGAAACCCGTAGGGGAAAGAGCAACAGTCACTGAGCTGCTCTGCAACTTGACGGAGTTGAGCTTTCCATGAAGTAACCCCAATTATTAGGAACTCAAAGAGAAATGCATGCCTTCGGCGCCCTCCGTTCAAATATTTTAATTGCTGTTTCCTTTATGGGAGGCGAGTGGCAAGCAGACTCAACTCACTGCTGTCTCAATCAAGTTATATCAATATCTAATGATTTGTAAAACTTTTCACATGGCATTTAGTTTCCCATGTATTAAGAATCAGTTCTTGCTCCAGCAGGGAGGGAACATCCAAGTTCTATTTACACAGGGCACCACATTCTTGAAGTGCATTTTGTAGTAGATATCTCTTTTGTTTCAATAACTACGTTTTCTGGAAGGCACTCCCCCATCCCCGCCCTGAGTAGATTCCGACCCCAGGGTCGAACTGCCGCGGTGGGGTTCCCGAGACAGTAATCTTCACGGGAGTAGAAAGGGACGCGGAAACCGGGCGTAGTTTTCAGTCCACTGGCACCGGGCAATAAATTCTCCAGGAAACGAAGGACGCCTACTCCTCCGCTCTCGGAAAGCATGGGCAGCATGGCAGCATTTATACCATCGTTTAAGGGAAACAGAGAAAAGCAGAAACAGCGCCGCCGCCTACTCCTCCCTTGAAGAGGCAAAGTCTCTTAAATAATTCTTAAAGTTAATTAAAACCGCAATAACACAAGACAATAACTTACAAGTACCCGGACTGCGTTCCCGAGGTCAGCTCCGGCGGACTACAGGACAGAGGGCTCAGGGCGGGAATACCGGAAACGTCGCGACGCGCGCAGTGCGTCCCGGGAGGGGGCGGGGCGTCAGAGCGCGGGGCGGGGCCTGGGGTCCCGCCCAGTTCTGCTCCAGAGTCTGGGGGTCAAAGCGCAGACTGGTTTGACCGGCCGTGTCCTGGGTCAAAAGTCAACGTGACCACAGGTCGGAAACCTAGCTGCTTCCTGATGTCTGTGAAATAGTAAAGGCGAAGCCAATGTTTTTATCAGAGATTCTAACCAGCCAAAGCTGAAAGTAACTGAAAAATTCGTATAAATTCCGGTATGCAGACCTTCATCAATTTAATTGAAAACTCTTCCCTCAACCATGAACAGTGGGACTTGTTTTAAGCAACTGAAATGGATTTGTAGATATTCTTACCCATGCAGATGACAAGCTTCAAACCTGCATCATGATCCCAACTCCCCTTCTTAGACAATATTTGAGCCTCCATGACCCAATGCCCACTGCCGTCCAGTACAGCGACCCACAGGAAAGAGTAGTGTGCCTGGTATTATCTGTGTGCTTCTTATATTGGCATTAATTTTTAAAAACATTTTGTTGTTGATAATAGAAGGGGGCTTCAAAAATACATTGAAAGTTTTCTCAAGTTGTGCTACTATTCTCCTTTTCAGGGTTTGCTCTCCATTCCCATGAATTGATGGCCCCCCTTTCTAGTTGTTCTCTTAGCCCATGAAGTTCTATAAAAGCATACTCAAAATGAATTAGTAAAAAAACAAAACCAAGCTATTGCTCAATTTGAAGGGTTCAGGGGATGGTTTTCTCTCAAGGTAATACATTTAAGAATTAAAAAGCTGAAGGCTTTGGGGATGACACAACTGGTAGAGTGAGCATATATATACATGTGCCCAAGCAGGTTACAAGGTCAAGGGCCAGGGAGTGTCAGCAAGCATGGCAGAGAACTAACCAGTGTTCCTAAATCGCAGCATTACTTCTCTAATAAATCGCATAATTGTGCATATTATCTACTTTCTGTTTGGACATTGAAGAGAATGATCAAATCTGGCAAAGGGAAGTGCAAGGCAGGACTGGTTGGTTTCTGAATAAAATAGGCTGATGCCGATTTTAATTTCCACTTTGAACAGAGGTCCGACCCCTTCCCCATGACATCCTTATAAGCACGCGGCTGCTAACATAAACATCAGTGGTTAGAACCCAAGAGTCACTATTTGAGAGATCTGCTTAGCTGTTTAAGAAAGCCTGTAATCTAAACCAAACCTGATGCTATCAAGTCTATCCCAATTCATAGTAGTTTCTAAGACTATGAATCTTTTTTTTTAATCATTAGCTTATATAGCGCGTATTACAATCCATACACACATCTATTGTGTCAAGCACATTTATACATGTTGCCATCATTTTCAAAACATTTTTCAAATGTTAGTATACTGACTATAAAATGTGCTATCCCTTTGATGAATAAACGTGTGAATGCAGCATACAAAAAAACAAAATAAGTTTTCTCTTTGGTTATCACATTTTCTCCCCTCCTCCACCCTTTTTTTTTTTCATGTCTTACACTGACCAGTCTCTCTTCACCCACTTTTCTATTGTCTGTCCCCCTGGTAGGGGGTTATATGTAGATCATGATGATCAGTTGCCCCTTCCCCTCCCAATATTGCTCCTATCATCATTATCCTGAGGGGCTTATCTTATTCCCTGTGTTTCTAGCTGTTATCTGTACCAATGTACGTGCTCTGGTTTAGCCAGGTTTGTGAGGTAGAACTGAGGTCATGATAGTGGTGGTGGTGGGGGAAGCATTAAAGAACTAGAAGAATGTTATTTCAATGGTGCTATACTGCACTCTTGACTGGCTCATCAATTCCTTGTGATCCTTCTGTAAGGGATATAAGACTATAAATCTTTATGGGGAAAAAACACCTCATCTTTCTCCCATGGAGTAGTTGTGGGTTTGAACTGACCATGAGATTAGAAGCCCAATGCCCAATGACAGTTCTACTCCATCTTATAAGGTTGTTGAGTTGAAATAAACTTGATAGCACACAACAATTGCTAATGGTTCAACACTTTTTCATGTGCTTGCTAGCTCTTTCAATATATCTTTCATAAAATGCTGACTCAAGTCCTTTGAACATTTTTGGACTGGGTTGTGGTATTTTTGATCACCTAAAAAGAATGAAAACTAAATTAGAAGTCCAATGTCCTCATTATCTTGTCTTCTACAGCTTGTAATATATGACAACCTCTCTGTAACTTTGTCTGCTGAGTCCTAAACTTAAGACATAGGTTTTACATACAATTTTATTTATCCATAATTTAAAAATGTGTCCCAATGCTACTCGTTTGAAAATCTTTTAAAACTCATTTATTGTTAACACATAGTAAAAAATCTTATATTACAAATTAGTATATTACCATGATATATAATACAATGCTGTCTGCCAAAATTTTCTCTGTGCTTCAGAAAACACACCTAAAAGCAATTTTCAAAGCTGTATACTTTCTCCAATTTTACTCAGGAGGAAAAAAAATAAAAATAAATTCTTTTAGGAGAAAGCTGAAATTTGTTACATCATTTATATTTTCTTCTTCTTCTTCTTTTCCAACACTTTGGTCATTTTCCTCTTCTTGGGTGACCCTAGAGTATTTTCTCTTTTTGGTTTATCAGTGTCTCCAGTCAAACCCCGTTTCTTCACCCGAGGCTTTGACTGCTTTTCCTCTTGCATTACAACCCCGAGCTCCTCCTCCGGGCTGGTCTTAGACAGCTCTGCTTCACTTACTGAAACACAAGAGACAGTGGGTTTAAAGACGGTTTTCCCCTTTCCAAGGAAAGAGCACAGGCTGACAGTAAAGCAAAGTAGCTGAATTTCCACTGCAACTTCCAATTCAAGAGGTTTACAGACTGCTCCTATTTGACACAAAGATCCCCGTAGTTACCAGAAGACTCTGACGCTGGAGGAAGACTTTCCTTTCTGTCGGGCACGCTGTCCAGCCACACTCCCAGGCAGGTCAGCCTGGCTTTAGTGTCCACTTCACAGAGTAGAGATGGGGGAATTTTCTAAAATAGGAAGAGTACAAATTCAGAACAAATATTGAATGCAGGGAAATTTCAAATAATTTCTTTACCAATAACCAAATTGCCTTACTTGAAAACTTAGTGTATTTCTTCAATATAAAAGATCACTGGCTAAAAGATGTACTATCAACTTATTAATAGCCTTTTGGAAGTTACTTTAATATAGTAAAGCACATTAAAATGTATTGGTAAATTTAAACACAGATTAAATATACTCGCAAATTTTAAAAATGGATTGACTTCCAGAAATGTTTTTTAAAAGTCTGTAATTGGAAAAAAATAATCACAGACCAAATGGCCAATTTTTCTTTTACTTTAATGATGAGATTTATAAGACTAAAGTGTAACTTAAAGGCAGGAAAACATCTTGGATTCCCTTTCATTAAACTGGCTAATGAACTGTTAATGTTAACTGAAACATGTTAAGTGTCAGTTGATTGTTCAAGTATATGAGTAAAAAGGCTAATTTTTCTAGTACAGAGGCTTTAAAAAAATGGTTGCATTTTTCAAAATGAGATTGAGCATATAAATTACTAGACAGAGTATGATGATAGTCAATTGTTTTCATACATGGATATGTTACTTGTAGTATCTCATGAACTCTATCTTCACATTATATGAGCAACATGGAGAAACTTCTGAGAAAAAGCATATTCAATATGTAATGGGAAAAAAGAGTATCTCCTAGGTCCCTTATGGCACAACATCAAGGTACCACTGGCACATGTAAAGAGGGACCATACATGGAATGTGATATTCAATAGCAATGAAACATTCTAAGGGCGGGTTCAATGGGGCAGAGGGTTCAATGGCTGGCAGTTGATGCTTAGCATACGAAGGGGTGTCCCCCAAACCACAGAATTTCCCCCCCCAAAGTTATTTATTTATTTACAAAACAAACTTATCACCTTCAAAGTACTCTCCATTACACTTAACACATTTGTCAAATCTGCAATTCCATTCTTGCAAACACTTTTCAAACTCATCTGTTTGATGGCTGACAACACCTCCCTCATTTTTATCTTTACCTAAGTTGTCAAATCAGCCCTTTCACGTCCCTCTTCATTTGCAGAAACAAAAAGAAGTCGCATGGAGCAAGGTGAGGTAAGGTGAGCGGGACAAGAGAGGCGTGTTGTTTTTTGTGAAAAGCTGGCACACTGAGATGGCTGCGTGAGCAGGTGCATTATGACAAAACTAGTCCCCCATCTGCCACAAGTCGGGCCTTTTTTGTTGCACACTGTTATGCAATTGTTTCTGACCTGGTGGAACGAACCTCCAATGCACTACCCCCCTCACATCAAAAACACAAATGAGCATCGTCTTGCTCTTTTATTTCACTTGACAAGCATTTTTTGGGGGGGCGAGGTGGCAATGGCTTTATTGATGTTTGCTTTCTGGGTCTTAAAGAGTAACACCATGTCTCATCACCAGTAATGACCTTGGAAAGAAAGTCTGGGTTGTTTTAGGGCTGTTCTTTCAGGCCAATGGTCTTTTTGCTGGTCAGTCAACCCGAGACACAAATTTAGCAGTGACCCTTCTCAATCCCAAATTTTCTGTTAAAATTCACTGACCAGAGCTCCAAAATACTCCAGTCAACTTCCTTCTCTCTTCAATGGACCATTGTCTGGTTTTCGAGCACAAGTGCACACATTTTGCTGACATTTCGTCCATCCAGGAAGTTGACTAGACGTCCAGAATGAGGTTTGTCAACAATTGATATTTCACCTTTTTGAAATGAGAAAACCACTTGTGCACTTGAGTTTTTCCCACAGCACTGTCCTTGTAAGCTGTGTGCAACATCACAACAGTTTCTGCTTCCCTTTTCATAGGCAGGAAACAAAATTTCATAGCCGTACACTGTCCTCTTAAATCAGCCATCACAAAAAACAAGGTTAAACTGCTTTTACGAGACAATTCACTGTGACCAGAGAACTGTCTTATAGGTGAAGCCACTGGATGCACTAACACAGAGTGAGTTGCTCAATGCTCGCCTAGTCGGAAAAAATGCATACTACGAAAGTTCTGCCCAGTGGAGCCTTTTCCAGGTTTTTGGGGGTACCCCCTCATAAGTCTGCCCAGGGGAGTCTACCAAATGGCCTAAGAAAGTAAGCACTTGAGATATTCTCCATGCATTGCAAGAATGCTTTCAGCAAGTGAGGCTGGCTACGACCTTTATTTATTCTACTTCCACATCTACCAAAAATAACTCTGGACTAACTGGTGGGCCCCCATACAAAATGTCTGTTTAGTACAGATCTATCTACTTCTCCCGTATTTGCATTAGTTTCTGTTATGATGTTTTCTGAAAAGCACATAAAGATGTCGATTCACTGAAGACAGGCCCATGTCTTATACATTTCTAAGGCTTAACCAAAACACCCCACAAAAATTAGGCCCTTAACAAATTACATCAGTAGTTAACCAGTGTGGCATGAAAACTCCATTTTGTTTTAAAACTGCAAGCAGCTAGTTGCCCCTTCCCCCCCTCCCCTCCTTTCCTCTCCCTGATCTCCTGACGGACCTCGACTCTTTCAAGATGCCTCCGGACCCCTCCTGCTCGATATCCAGCTTGCCCAATTAGCAAGAAATGTAAACTATCCTGTCAAGCCTTGAGTTATCAACTGCAGCTGTTCCCCATATCTCCCTCCGAGTCTGCTGCCTGCCTGATAAGTAAAAAATACAACTTCCTGAATGTTTCCCTACCCTTCTCTCTGCTTTATTATAAAGATCCTGTACATCCTTTGTTTTGTCAAGAGAATTAGACATGAGTCGGCTCTCGACCCAGTTGATAATAAAAGAGTTATTATTGACTTTATTAAGTGGTGTGTGAATTAATCTCGCGAGGGTACAAGAATACTCACAGAATATGTTCATATGAGAAAATGAAGACTACAATCAAGAGTATGAGACAATTAAAACAATAACAAAAGGGACAGAGATTTTAGAAAAATAATTTAATTTTCTAATTACTTAGTTAAAGACAACTGTTAGTTCTACAATAGATCAGTAGTCTCCAAATAATTTTAGCAATGGCAGTATTTTTGTCTTAACAAACCCTTACAAAGAACCCCAGTATGCAAAAGAGTAAGCAAAGCTTCACTGCCCGGTCAGATTCACACATCAACTCAGGAACGTCTATGGAACAGGCTCTGTACACCCCACTATCAATTATGTCTGGGAGAAACAAGAAAGGCTTGTTTAAAGATGCTTATGACCCTTAAAAGAAAATTCCATCTTACTTGACTCAAAGCAGCACTATAGGAGGGAGCTTCAAAAAGTTGTTAGAAATATGGAGTTTCCTCAAGTCCTTTCTAAAGCCTCTTCCTAGTGAGCCTTGAACTAGAATGTGCTTACATTATGCTACAATACCGACCTTGTCCTGGTTAAGCGTCCACATTTTGAGGAACCCATCGCTTGATGCTGTAACAAGAACGTGATGCTCTGAAATGTCAAAACTGAGGATGTCTTTCACCCTAGGACAGAAACATTAATGTGTAGACACTTTCTTCCACAGGACCGTCCCAATTACTCTCCCGACCCTACACAGCAGCGGCTCTCAACCTGTGGGTTGCGACCCTTTTAGGGGTCGAACAACCCTTTCATAGGGCTTGCCCGATTCATAACAGTAGCAAAATTACAGTTATGAAGTAGCAACGAAAATAACTTTATAGTTGGTGGGGTACCACGACATGAGGAACTGTATTAAAGAGTCGCAGCATTAGAAGGTTGAGAACCACTGCTCTATAGGGTTTCAGAGGGTGAGCACCTTCATGGGAACAGAGAGCCTCATGTTTCTCCCATGGAGGGCTGGTGGTTTTGAACCACCAACCTTGCAGTTAGCAGCCCAACACTTATTCAATAGCACTAACAGAGCTAAAAGGACAAAAGTGTTAAAGAACAGTGCCTGAAAATGTGACATTTCACATTCCCAATACACTTGGAACAGTTTAAACACCTTCAGTGTCTGATTTATCTGATCATATACTTTATCAAAGTCTATATATTCCAGAACAAAACTGTCAACTATATCTCAAGGAGAAATATTATAAAGATAATGTATAAAGAAAGCTAACAAGCCTGACTGCGCTGTTCTTAGAAAGGTCTGCTCAGAGCAGTGGTTCTCAACCTTCCTAATGCCGTGACCCTTTAATATAGCGTAAGGGGGTTGGCCTGCCACTGGCATCTGGGACCCTGGGCTTCAGAAAAGCTCTCACCACTCTAATTGATAAAAGTGGCTTCTAACACCCAGACTGACTGGGTAAACCAGTTTAGAATGAACATCTGTTCTTTTGGCTCCTGCCGAGCATAGGGTACCACCTGTGTGAACATCTCCCAAGGAAGCCATAGGTGGAGTACTTCATAGGTGCTGTCAAAGGCAGTGAGTTTGCATTTTGGTTTGGTCACCACTGGTGCTGGAGGAATTAGCATGTTCTGTGTGGTTCGACTGGGAGCGGGCCACAGGCTTTGCCCATGTGGCTTTCCAGGGTTGATTTTGCCTTATACTACATCCATTCACGGTAATTTAACTGGATGCTGTGAGTCTAATTAGCAAACCAACACACCAAGGAGCAGTTGACCAACCAAATAAAACCCAAACCATTGCCACTGAGATGATTCCTACTCACAGCAAACTTGTGTAGTTTCTGCAGCTATGGGAGCAGAGAGCCGCATCTTTCTCCTGTGGAACAGCGAGGAGTGGGGAGTTTGAACTGCTCCCTTTGTGGCTAGCAGCCTAGAGTCTAACGAACCACAGTGCCCCAGAGCTCCTTCTCAGCAGTGACACACAACTCTTAAGTAAATAATCAGGGTATCGCAAAAGAAATAATAAAGATAAGTGTAACAAAGGGCCTTAGCTTGACAAATAAGAAGTTAAGCAGGGAGAGGTGAGTGTGTGAGTGCAAAAGAACCCAGGCTCCCCCTTCAGTCTCTCCAGCCCAGTGTAAGCTAGCTCATTGTCCTCCTGGATTAGAGGTGGCCCGCCTGGCCTCTCTGCTTCCACTCTCATCTTCTAACACTCTTACTCCCAGACTAAGACCCCACAGAGCTGAAATCTGCTTTCAAAAATCACACAGGAGAAAAGTGGCTGGTGGACATAGCAGAAGAAAGATTGACCCTACACTGGTAATTGTGCAGATGGGGACCAGGCATATAGAGTTCCTTAGGCTAGCCTACTTGTCTTTTTATTGCTCTATTGTAAGAAGTAAATCACAGAAAACACAATAAACACCAAAATCTAAAAAGGCACCTAGTATAAAATCTAAGCTCCTTAGATTGCCCACAAGGCCTTACACCCATGGCCCTTCCCCTTGCTCATGCTTTCTCCCTGCCTACGGTTCTCTCATGGCTTTACAACTGGCTCTCTTCTCATCTGGAAAGTCTCCCTTCTTCCCAGACCGTTCTCCTGAAGTAAGTTACCCTCATTTCATAATCCTCTAATCACAGTATCCTTCTATTCCCTTCTTGCTATAATTATTTGCACACTCTTTTTCACCTACTATCCCACTGCAGTTAAAAGCCATGAGAGGGCAAGACCATGTCTTTTGGGCTCACTGTTCAGTCCCTAGCACAGTACTTTATAATGGCTGCTCAAGAAGTACTGTGGAATGAAGAAGAAATGAATGAATGAAAGAAAGAAACGTGTACTCACTACACTTGAAATGGCCCCTTGAACACGTGCTCACTGCTGAGTCTTAAGGAGTAAGCAGGGCCCCTATTCTGACCGCAGTCCTTTATTTACCAACACAGACTTCTTGAAACTTAACCACTATTTAGAAAGTAAGACTGATACTGATTTGGGGTATAGAAGGGAGCTTCAAAAAGTTGGTGGAAAACTGGAAGTAAATGTTAATAGGATTCCACATTAGCTTTGTGAAGCCCCAGCATATAGGTATATGTGAATGAACACCCATATAGCTATTATTCTAAACATTACCAAATTTTCCAAAATTGGGACTGGGGGTAGGTCCCAATTTCCTCATTGTGACTTGAATAATCTTGGTCAAACACCTAGAAATACTCCTCCGGAATACATCAAGTACATTCCAACTCACAGTGACCCCACAGGACAGAGTAGAACTGCCCCTGGGGGTTTCTGGGATTGTACATTTTTCTCCCTCAGAGTGGCATGTAGTTTTGAAGTGCTGACCTTGCATTTAGTGGCCCAGTAAATCACCTAGCACAGTGGACGGAATGAAATGAGAACTCAAATACTTTTATGTTTCTTGCAGGAAGAACAACAATGAAGGAAGTAGGAGACGGAGACAAGAAGAAAAGGTAAAAGGACAACAAAGGTCAGGAGTGGCCGTGGATTCAGCTGTGCTCTGAAGCTCTGCACCTGTGGTTAGGATCCCATGCGGGAAAGGGCTTTCTGTTAATGAAGGTCACAGCCATTCGGTTTTGAAATAGAGAAAAGAGAAGATTAAGGAGCCACAAATGAAGATACATGCCACGGAAACACATAGGCATCGAGGAGTAGACGCTAAAATACGCAGGGAGCTTTCTCCAGAACACAGTGAGCAAGAACAAGCAAGAATGCACACAAACACACAGAGAGAGGGAGTGCTTTCCCCAAGAGCCAACACTCAGAATTTGGACTTCTAGCCCCCTAAACTGTGAGAAGGATGAAGGGATGGATCAAAACAGTGGTCCCAATAGTAGGTTCATGTGTACCGATTGTGATCACGATGCAGGACCAGGCAGTATTTCGGTTGTACACAGGGAGGCTATGAGTTAGAGCCAACTTGATAGCACCTAACAGCACAACAGACTGCGTGGAAATCGATTTCTGTTCATTAAATACCACTTTGGGTACTTCTTAGAGGAATATTAGATCCCTAAGACAGGACAACGCTAAAGACAGTGGGCTTGAGTCACTGGGTAGCAGCCCAATGCTTAATCCCTGTGCTCCCAGGGCTTTTTCCATATAGAGATTAGTACAGATACCTGTTTTCATGAGCTTTAAATTCACAGAGGCACATTAGAGAATCACAGTCAAAAAACCGCACACACTCTTCGTCTCCCGCCACAGCAAGGACAGACTCCTAGGACAGAGAAGAAAACATCCAGACTGTCATCAGTCCTTCTGAGCGGCACCACACACTAAGCTTGTCCCGTGATTTCTGATGCCTTACAGAGAGAAACGTGACAGAAGAGACTCTTTTCTCACTGGTGATGGTTCCACTGACAGATGCCGTGTCGAGCTGGTAGACGTCTATCTTATTCACTGTGACGACTATGTACTTCTCTCCCTTTGGTGACCATTCCACTATGTGAGCATCTGTCATTTTGAAGGGGAAAAAGTACTTTTTGTCATACCAAGAATAAAAACAGCAAATACTTATATTTGATTTATAAGAATATTTATACTTCCTTCTATTCATTTAATCTATCAAAACTTTATGATACACATTTTGAAAGAAAGTATGCAAATAAGCTGGGTTAAAAAATTATCTTGGGTCACAAAGCCACTTGGGAAAAAGGAGGTAGGTAAGCTAAGGCAGCTATTCTAAGATGTAACCACCATCATGCGAGAACATCCACATTTGCACATGAAAGTACCTACTTCGTATTCTATCAAGTTATTACAAAATACACTTTATCACAAAAATACTTACTTTGTTTTATGTTTTTTATGAATGCTGACCTTCCGTCCACAAGATTCCATGTTCTGCAAGACATGAAGCTGACTTGTGGCATGATCATCAAATAAATGCATTAATTGTAACACAATTCTAAAGCTGCCAAGGTGATTGTGACTCACAGCAATCTGATAGGGCAGAGTGGAACTGCTCCATAGGATTTCCCAGACTGTAAATTTTTTTTTTTTTTACTGTAAGTTCTTATGGAAAGAAATAGCCTCATTTTTTTCCAGTCAAGTGGTCAACGGGTTTAAACCTCCAACTTTTAGTTGTAAGTTGAACCTTTGTACCACCAGGGCTCCTACTAAGAAAGACGAGGCTTTCCATTTCTGTGAAGTTAGTTCCGGAAACCCGCAGGGTAGTTCCACCCTTCCTACCGGGCCGCTGAGTCCCACAGGCTGAAATCAACTCGATGGTGCTGAGCTTGGTTTTTGGGTTACTGTGCAATGAAGACTTGCATAAAAGAAACGATGAAGAAACAAGTTTTTCTAAATTCATGGTTTTGGAGGACCTACTGTTTTGTTTTTAAATACAGTAGCATCTGAAATATTTAAGACTAAAGCTCTTTCTCTCCCCGTCCCCTTTAATAAACGGTACCTATTACATTTTCAAAAGACTTCACCTCCTAAAACCCTTCTTTCTATGATCAACCATCTGTTTACTTTATAGTGTACAGTGACTGGAGCATAGAATGCATGTCTAATGCCCAGCATGTCATTTGTACCCTCCCATCCAGACCAGGTTTTAACCTCCCCCCACACCACCCCTATCACAATATCCTTAAAAAGTCAACAGCAATGAAGCCAAATAGAGTATCTAACTGCAGAAGTAAAAGCTACCCTCTTGGCGAGTTCTCATTTTACTTGGAGAGCGAAGAATAAAATGGACCAAAAATGCTCTCTGGCATAATGACGTACCTTAACGTCTTGTCTGTACCTACAGACAGGGCCATCTTGCCGGATGGGTGGATAGAGAGGAAGGTCACATGGCCTCTAAAATAAAACCAAGAGTTAACAGCCAACCTTACTGGGACACTGAGAAGGCCAATGGGAGGGAGCTCAACTCACTTGTGTGCTTTAATGGACTTCAGGCATTCCCACTTCTTGGCGTCCCAGACACAGATCAGTCCATCTTCTGCTCCACTGATCAGGTGCCTGTTGCCATAGAATTTCAGACAAGTTATTGTGCCTGTGGAAAATGCAAGACAAGTAATTAACATTTCATTCAAATGTAAACTCCGTGTCTGGTTTGAACATTATGGTGCAGTAAGTAAAACATGCAATGATTCATAAAATGAGTAAAATGTATCTGATGTCTAGTTGAAGAAACTAAGATTTTCACAGAAGAGTATACAGCTTTAAGCTATGTAAATATATTTTCAATCGAGGGTTTCTTTGGCTATTAGTTTGAACTAACCACCCCACACTTTCGTGCTTTCTGTCTCCATAACCACTTATTTAGGACTTGATTGGCGGGTTTCTTTGGCTATTAGTTTGAACTAACCACCCCACACTTTCGTGCTTTATGTCTCCATAACCACTTATTTAGGACTTGATTGGCTAACAGTTTGATCACGGTGTTAAACAAAACTCAGTAATTACTAAGTAAAGAACAATCAAAGTGCTGAGCCACACAAATTTTACATTCTAACAGGTGAGTTCGCTACCTAATTCAAAATCCAATTATTTATTATTGCTCCAGGTACAATTCTACATTGTAATTGATTTGACTTTTTAGAGTAGAGTAAATGTATCTGATAAGATTTTCAGAGAAATGTGTAGCCAATTGCCTCCAAGAACAACTGCCTCCTTTGCTCTCAAACAAGAACCGAATGGTGCCTGACTACCACTGGACATTTGGATTAAATAGTCTTAATAGAAGAAGCCCAATGAAAAGGGGGCGGGGGCAGATGTTGAGGGGGGAATATAAAAATAGAACTTCAAATTCTCACTGTCTCTAGACTTTGTAGAAGGATGAAACTACTGTCCTGAAATAATCTTTTAAACATTAAACCAAAAATATCCCTTGATATCATCTTAAGAATAAACAGTTTAGCTTAACTAGTACAAAAGGCTTGTCTTAAGCATAATGCTCTTTTCTGAACTATCTCATGGGTTCAAACTGACATCAATTGGGAAGATTCTCTATCAGCGGTTCTCAACCTGTGGGTCTTGACCACTTGGGGGAGGGGTGTTGAACGACCCTTTCACAGGGGTCGCCTAAGACCATTGGAAAACATCTATGTCCGATGGTTGGGGGTGACCACAACATGAGGAACCGTATTAAAGGGCTGTGGCATTAGGAAGGTTGAGAACCACTGCTCTATATGAGCCGAGGGGTTGTGAGTTGGTGCTAACGAGGAACAGTTCAGAACACAAAGATGAGAATGGCTGCACAATTGGAAGACTGTAATCATGGGACTAAATTGTACATGGAGAAACGACTGAGTTGATTTTGTTTTGCTGTGTATAATCTTAACAACAAGAACAAAATAAATAACATTGAGAGAAAAGGTATAAACAAAGGAGGAAAAACCCCAC